GTTTGTTATGATCGGCGTGCTTGTTTGTTTGTTTGTTTGTTTGTTTGTGTCGTGGTGGTATCGGTGAGACCGGAGCAGACAGAAGCGTGGTGCATGATCCCGGCGTTTCTGTGCCGTCGCCTCACGACGACACTTCAGGAGGTTTAAAGAGCTCCGTTGTGTTCGTAGAACAGTCGGCCATTATTCTACCATGGAGCCCCCCCCCCCCCCGAGACGCTCTGTGACACAAACAAACGAATCCAGAACCGCTCGGATGGACGAGGAGACGAGGCTCAGCTCATCTTCATCAAACTGGCCTTCATCATCAAAAAGCTTCAGTTTCCTGACACCTGCCATGTTGAAAGGTGGAGTCAAGCTGGAGGTGAAGCACCTTTAAAACGGGTCACATGACCACATGGTTCTGGTTCTGCTGCTGCAGACCGACCGGGTCACATGACCACATGGTTCTGATTCTGCAGACCAACCGGTCCATTTCTGACCTTTAACTGAACGTTCTCAGCAGCTGGCTCTCTGTGACGGACCCGTCCTCCTCTGTCCACCTGCTGAGTTCACAGGGTCCTGCTGGACAGACAGGAAGGGAGGGAGGAGGAGGAGGAGGAGGAGGAGGAGGAGGAGGAGGAGGACACCCATCTGACTGCTATGTTCATTCTCCATCAGCAGCAGTAGATCTGATGTGTGACTGAACGCAGCAGCAGGAAGCTTCCTCAGCTCTACGTTCAGATTTCTGCCGCAGTATTAGTTTAAAAGACGGGATCGTGTGCATTTGTCTGTTAGCAAAATATCTCATGAACCACTGGATGGATTTGAATCAAACTTTTAGAAATGAACAATGGATGTGCCTGCAGCTGATGAACCAGGATGTCGCTGGGCTGAGACGTTGGTGGGGTTCTGTCAGAGACATTTTGGTCAAAGGTCAAAGGTTATAGATGGTCTTGAGAATCTGATCTCTGCCCATGAACCATATGTTTGGGTTAGTGGCTGCGCTCTGTGAACTCAGCTGAACTGATAAGGCTATAAAAGCGAGCGTGTAACGCAGCTCGGGGCAGTTGCTCGTGACTCGTCTTCATGTGTGTACTTCATGTACATTCATGTAACCAGTCCTGAAAATCTGGCCTTGCCAGTAAACACCAGTTAAAACTCTCCTCCTGCTGTCGAGCGTGGCTCTTTCAGAGTAAACAACGTAAACAAGAATGTTTTTCTTTAACAGGTTCCCAGTTCCCCGACCTGGGTCGCCGAGGTCTGGTCGACAGAAGTGTTGTTTATATTTTTGTTCTGTGTGTGTGTGTGCGTGTGTGTGTGTGTGTGTGTGTGTGTGGACATAAATCCACTGGCTCAGGGAGCTCCAGAGCCTTCAGGGCCTCTAATGCACCTTCTAATTACTCCTCATTATGCCACAAATCTGTGATACTCGAGCTGGACGGGGTCAACGTGCTTCAAGTCACCTGGACTCTGGTGAGAACTGCTCCGTGTTCTAACTGTGTGAACATTTACGAAGCGTCCGCTCGACTGTCGTCCGTTTTTCTTCTCGTACGTTTTTCAGTGCGATCCTCGTCCCGCAGTTTTCATCTATTTCAACATCATGAATAAAAACCTTCAGCTCTTTCAGAACAATCCTGCTTTGACTTTTGCTATTGGTGCAACTTTAGCTTTTTGAAATATTTAGCCTTTTCTGCCAATTTTTTCTCATAGAAAATGAATTTAGCTCATTTTACCTCCTTCAAGTCTTTAGATGTGTTTACAACCTTTTACTGCTCCTTTCACGTTTTGTTCTGCTTCAGCTTCTTTCAGCTTCCTGCTGATAATTTAAACTTTTTCAGCTAAAACAAGAAACCATCCAGATGACATGACTCAACTTTGTTGGATTTTCTACCTGGATTATTAAGCATGAACTTTGATGTTTTTCAGCTACTTTCAGCTAATTTCAGCTGTTTTGTGCTCCTTTCAGATTCTTTCTGCTAACAACAACGTTTTTGTGCTTCTTCTAACTTCTTTCTGCTAATTTCAGCTTGTTATGCTCCTTTCAGCTTATTTCTCCAAGTTTCAGCTTTCTCTGCTCTTTCAGCTACTATTTAACTCTTTTGATGCTGTTGTTAGATGTTTCAGGTAATTTCACATTTTTTTAAGCTAATTTCAGCTCTTTACTTCCTTCTGGTAGTTTAAGCTTCTTTCTGGCCTTTCGGCTACTTTCAGCAATTTTTTTTCTCATTTCAGCATTTTTAGCTAATTTCCAAAATTTTGTGCTAGTTTCTGCTCTCTTAAACCACATTCAGCAAATATGTGTTTTCTCCTTTCTTCTGCTAATTTAGGCTTGTTCTTCCATTTCAGCTACATTTCAGCTGTTTTTCAGCAACTTTTTCATCAATAAGCGTTCACACTTCTTTTTCACAGGAAATGCATTTTCTCTCGTTTCATTTGTTTCTTCTTTTCTCCTTGCTGTCTCTTTGGCTGAGCTCGGAGCAGACGTTTGTTCCTCGAGCTTTTCACCTTCGGCTGTTTCTTACCCAGCGCTGAGGCAGCTAAAGGCTGAAACTGCAACTTTGTCGTTTGTGAATTGGAGCAGTGCCGTCTTGTATTCAGCTGATCAAATGTCTCATCATGTTCCATTTGTTTGAGGCTTTTTAAGAAGTTCTGTTGAAAATAAAACGTGACATCAGTGAAGGAGAACTCCACCTGCAGAGCTCCGCCCCTTCAGGTGAAAACCAGAAGTCATTTCCTGTCTGCGCGGAACCTCCAGGAAGTCCCTGCAAAACCTTCAAGCTGATCTCAGAATGGTTCTTTAATTGGAAACTTGTGATGTTTGACTCTTAAATATTCATTTTGTTAGTTTTTAAACCAGATCAAAGTTAAAATTAGTGTCAGACACTCTTCAGTCTTTGGATCTTCTTTATTCTTGGCATTAATGTAGAATTCAGTTTTTAAACGGTGCAGAAGTGAAGCAGAGAACAAATGTTCTGAAACTCTGCAGGAAAGGAACCCAGGAAGGTTCTGGCTGGGTCAGCAGCCTGACCTGCACCCAAAGAAGCAGCTTCTCTCTTCCTCGAGATAAAACGGAGCGGACAAACAAACCAGGTCTGTAGAGACTCTGAAGGAAACGTCTGGCCAGAGACGCTGAAGGGAACATCTGGCCAGAGACTATGAAGGGAACATCTGGCCAGAGACTCTGAAGGGAACGTCTGGCCAGAGACTCTGAAGGGAACGTCTGGCCAGCGACTATGAAGGAAACGTCTGGCCAGAGACTCTGAAGGAAACGTCTGGCCAGAGACTCTGAAGGAAACATCTGGCCGGAGACTCTGAAGGGAACATCTGGCCAGAGACTCTGAAGGAAACGTCTGGCCAGAGACTCTAAAGGGAACATCTGGCCAGAGACTCTGAAGGAAACGTCTGGCCAGAGACTCTGAAGGAAACATGTGGCCAGAGACTCTGAAGGAAACGTCTGGCCAGAGACTCTGAAGGAAACATGTGGCCAAAGACTCTGAAGGAAACGTCTGGCCAGAGACTCTGAAGGAAACGTCTGGCCAGAGACTCTGAAGGAAACATCTGGCCAAAGACTCTGAAGGAAACGTCTGGCCAGAGACTATGAAGGAAACGTCTGGCCAGAGACTATGAAGGAAACGTCTGGCCAGAGACTCTGAAGGGAACGTCTGGCCAGAGACTCTGAAGGGAACATCTGGCCAGAGACTCTGAAGGGAACATCTGGCCAGAGACTCTGAAGGGAACATCTGGCCAGAGACTCTGAAGGGAACGTCTGGCCAGAGACTCTGAAGGGAACATCTGGCCAGAGACTCTGAAGGGAACATCTGGCCAGAGACTCTGAAGGGAACGTCTGGCCAGAGACTCTGAAGGAAACATCTGGCCAGAGACTCTGAAGGGAACATCTGGCCAGAGTCTCTGAAGGAAACATCTGGCCAGAGACTATGAAGGAAACATCTGGCCATAAACTTTGAAGGAAACATCTGGCCAGAGACTCTGAAGGAGACATCTGGCCAGAGACTCTGAAGGGAACATCTGGCCAGAGACTCTGAAGGGAACATCTGGCCAGAGACTCTGAAGGGATTATCTGGCCAGAGACTATGAAGGAAACATCTGGTCAGAGACTCTGAAGGGAACGTCTGGCCAGAGACTATGAAGGAAACGTCTGGCCAGAGACTCTGAAGGAAACGTCTGGCCAGAGACTTTGAAGGAAACATCTGGTCAGAGACTCTGAAGGAAACATCTGGCCAGAGACTCTGAAGGAAACGTCTGGCCAGAGACTCTGAAGG